TGGCCTTTGGGGGATTAATTTATTCTGTGCTATTGTAATATTTCAAATCAGTTGTAGTTCAAGATGCTAAATCTTGTACAAATGATGCTGCAATACAGTCTAATGTTTACAGACTTCATGGCCCACTTAGTCAGGACAACCAATCTTGTGAATGTGGGGAGTGATTGCTTTTTAATAGGTAGATACAGTTCTATTCGCTTGTTTGTTTACAAGTAAGAAAGTTATTAAATGCCCAACTTATTTTATATGTGATGTTCTAATGGAAACAAGACAATATCTTGAACAAGAGCAGTGGTAAAGCCTAGAGCCATGGGGTTTTTTCAAGTTTTATATCTCTGGGCTTATTTTTTTAAATAGTTTGTTTTGAACTTTGGGTATATAGATTAGTGTTAATTTCTATAACTTAATTAAACAAATATTCACCTTACTGGAAGTATGGTTGTGTGTGCATTTAACAGTCATTTTAAGAATTACGTATTAATTTACTTTTGTGACTTGGTGGAATATATTGATTTCAAATAATAATATTACAGTTAACATAGAAGTCTAAAAGCTTAATTACTCAGCCCAAGTCAAATAGAAAATGTGTTTTAGAACTGGCAATAGAAATTGGAGTTATTAATAATTTATCTATGATTTCTAACTCTCTTTTTTCTTTTTTGATATGGAGTCTTGATGTCACCCAGGTTGGTGTGCAGTGGCGCAGTCTCAGCTCACTACAACCTCCACCTCACAGGTTTCTGCCTCAGCTTCCCAAGTAGCTGGGACTACAGGTGTGTGCCACCACACCTGGCTAATTTTTTGTATTTTTAGTAGAGACAGGGTTTCACCTTGTTAGCCAGGATGATCTTGATCTCCTGACCTCATGATCTGTCTGCCTTGGCCTCCCAAAGTGCTGGGATTACAGGTGTGAGCCACTGCGCCCAACTCTAGCTCTCTTTTTAATGTTTCCCACTGAACATTACTTAGAGCACAATACCATAGATAATTTTTGTTATATTGTAATAAAATTGCAAGAGACTATCAAAGTTTTCTTTAATAGTACTTCCACAGACTAAACACCAAAAGGCGACCTACTGGCTTTCCAGAGTTGAAATTTCACATGCTGAGGCATGACTGCACATATGCAGAACTTGTTTTGCTTATTGGTTGTGTTGCTCACCGATGCTTAGTTAACTGTCCTCCTTGGTGTACATAAGGCAATGGATGAAAGCTGTACATCACTCCAAAATGATGCTGAACTGATTCCAGTTTGACACTTGAATTACCTCCTTTCCTAAGGTAACATGTGATGTTCAGTTTCAATGAGGTAGTAGGTATTATTTTGACATATACTGTTTATGGAACTCAATGTAGAATTATTTTTTACCATATAGGAGGAAAAATTATCTTGTTGCTAAATTCTATCCAGTTTAGACCAGTTCAGTGGTGTCTTGAGTCACTGGACAATTCTTGAATGTAAGGTTCGTGTGGTGACACATTAATGCTTTGAGAGAATGGTTAAAATTAAATCATAATGATGTCTTTTTATTTTGGAGATAGAGATATTCTGTAAGAATGCCTGCAGCAGTGAAGTGTCCTTGAAATATGAGGGAAACACATGTCTTACCTTGGTAATCTTAATGGTTCTTTAAGGATTCCATGATGCTTGAGGGACATTCCAAGAAATTTTTAATGAGTCCTTAGTCACATGAAAATATGGCAGGAAAACGATATGCCAACACTTTGTCATTTTAATCTTATGTATTGTCTACATTTAGAATACAGGTGGGGCATGGTGGCTCATGCCTATAATCCCAGCACTTTGGGAGGCTGAGGCAGATGAATCACTTGAGGTTAGGAGTTCGAGACCAGCCTGGACAATATGGTCAAACCCTGTCTCTACAAAATATAAAAATTAGCCAGGTGTAGTGGCATGTGCCTATAATCTCAGCTGTTCAGGAGGCTGAGGGAGGAGAATTGCTTGAACCTGGGAGGTGGAGGTTGCAGTGAGCTGAGATCGCGCCACTGTACTCTAGCCTGGGCAACAGAGTAAAACTCCATCTCTAAATGAATAAATAAATTAAGAATACAATCTAAGGTACCAATTCCATACCTTCTTCAAGTCTTGATTTAATGGTTAGAGCACTTAGTTTGCGATAATCTATTCTTGGTTTATTTGCATTCAGTTTTAATTTTACTGTTGCCTCTTATCTGCCAGAAACATTACCTAAGACAGGTCTCAAATTGCATTCAAATGTGCATTCAAACCACCTACAGATCTTGTTAAAATGCAGATTCAGTAGATCTGGGATAGAGCTTGGGATTCTCATTTTGAACAAGCTATCAGGCGATGTCAGCACTACTGCTAGTTACGGATCTCACTTTGAAGCAAGGGTCTAGGTCATAGACTAAACTCTAGAATGTTTCTAAAAATTTTTTGGATTATTATTAGCTTAGTGAATTCATGTGATTACTTCTGGCTCACTTTAGTTTTAAGAAAATAAATGTGCTAAAAAGCTACAGTACATTTTACTATTTTCTATAAAATATTTTTAAAAATTTTCTGTAACTATAGTTTGCTTTCATTATAAAAGAGTTCATAGCATCATTTATTGTTATAAAAAGATTGACAGAAAAAAACAATATAATTTAAATCAATATAATTACAGTTCTCTATCAAAAGTATATTATGTAAATAACTATATAATGAACTATGAAAGTGGGCTAAAGATACTTGCCTTATAAGGTTTAAGTTATTTTTTCTTAATTTGTGCTTTATGTAACAACTAAATAATCTGATGTTTGTCTTTTATGTGATGTGAAAATAGGAAGAAAAGTCAGAGAATCAAAGAAGTAGATAATGATTCTTCTGAATGTTTTTTCTCTGAGGTTTTGGCTGTCCACTTTCATTTTTAATTCAGGCTTCTGCTTTAACTTTTCACATGTATAGAGGCATTTAGAGGAAGATAAGTTTTGTTTCCCGTTCCTTCTCTCGGATTATATTGAGAGAAGAGGGCTTTAATGAAAAAGCCAACCACATTAATTTAAAATGTTCTGTCATGGAGCTAGTAGTTAAACAGAGTTTACAGTTCTTGGAGGCTCAACTTTCTTTCTTTCTTTTCTTTTCTTTTCCTTCCTTCCTTCCTTCCCTCCCTCCCTCCCTCCCTCCTTCCTTCCTTCCTTCCT